AGGAGGTCAGCAGAGACGTGCAACAGTAGGTACAGCTGGTGGAGAGTCTTTAAAGGTTTCAGGCATCATAAACAGTGGTGTTGAAGATGTTGTTAAAACTGATGAAATTACGAACACAGAAAAGTAAACTCAGATTTTGATCCGTCATGCAATACCAGCTGAAAAGCGTCTGATTGTCAGTGGCTTCATTATTCAGCATGACAGTCATCCCAAACACACTGCCAATGATCAGTAAAAGCATACCTGTATAGAAAAACACACACTTGCATATTATCAGTGATGGATTGGCCTCCCCAGAGCTCGGACATCAGCATTATTTAAGCAGTGTGAGATCTTGACAGAGAACAGAAGGCAGCCAACATCCAAAGTAAAACTTTCCTCCAACAGACCAGAGAATGAAGCTACAAGAGCTGAAACTATGTTAAAGAATAAAGGTGGTGATACCAAACCTGATTTTAAAGTTTGTTAGATTTGCACTCTTTTTGCTTTATTCACTACATTCCCATTGTCCTAGCAAAATATAAAGAAATAAGTAAAATGTAAAAATGTAGTCATCAACAATCTTTCTGGTATTTGACCAGAAATGGTCCAAGTCTGGCCCGTTTGAGCAGAAAAATGCCAATGCAACTGTGGTAACATTTTTGCAGGCGGCTGAGTGGCTGCAGGATGTATGAGAAACTTGACTCAGAGGCTGTGGTACAAAGGGGTTAACAGAACTGAGGCAATTAATCATTATTATTAAGCAATGTCACTAGACCCATAAAGAGACACGGCTATGTAAGGACACAGATTAACGGATAAACTGTTACATAACTGTGGTTCCATCCAGTCAGGCAATGTGTTGTGTCTGACATCTTTGGAACTTTTGAGTGATATAGAGATTTCGCCATATTATGTGTTTTTGGCCATACACAAATAATCAGGTCTTACTGATGGCTAAAAGGAGAGCGTCGCCCACTCTGGCCAAGTCTGCCCTCCCCAGCAGCAGCTCTGTCACCTCCAGATGTTCGTTGGCCACTGCCAGCTGCAGTGCATTTTGGCCCATGTAGTCAACAGCGTTGACGTTCAAGTTGGGTACATGCAGCAGCATACGCCGCACCTCTGGTATGTTCCCGTATTCAGCTGCTTCCAGGAAACGCTGCTCAACCTCTGACAGGCTGACTGAGGGAGCTGAGAACATGTAGGCAGGTCCACGGAGAGCCTGGCGTCGTTTAGCAGCAGTGAGACGAGCCATAAGCTGTCGCTCAGAGTTACTGTGGCTGCCAGAAACAGAAAAAACACTCGATGTATGGTCCACACATGAATTTACACACAATGTAGTTCTCGAACAGAAAGGTGCAGGTGTGCTATCCACACAAGTAATGAGAGAGAGACCCACACACCCGTGAGAGAGCACTGAATCACAGTTAGCCTCATTCATATACTTGCCTACCATAATCTGCAATTAGTAGATGTAAGTTAACTTTGACCTGGAGAACAGATGAAATAGTATCAAGTTACAACATTTTCCTGGTTCTGTATTTCTTTCTTAATATTCTTTAAGATGTATTATCTAACATTCTGTTCTGCTACATCATATGAGGTTTGTTTATGCCATGATGGCTTACAAGGTTTGTACATAAAAACGAAGTACTCAGTGCATCAAAACGACCAAAAGGATTCCCAAGCAGGCATCAGTGTGTGACGAGAGGAGCATAAGAAGAGGTTGAGAAATCCTGTAGCACTGAGCACTGAGGCTAATGTAAATAACGAGGCTGGAAATGCCAAAAAATTATTTACATTATAAGTATTATATTACTCATAAGTTAAATTACGTTTACTAATGGATCATGGGTTCTGAAGTACACTCTCTAATGTACATCAGTCTCCCTCCCTCCATCCCAGAGCGCTGACCTAGAGTTAAACCCAATGAGCACCTGTGGCTGTTTTGCTGGTTGCAAGTTAAAGAATGCAAACTGAAGAACATTGTGCTTGCAATATTTAGTGAAAATTACCATCAGGCGTCCAAATACGTTTTATCTTCTCCTTCAAACTTTTTAAAATCTGTCAGTCTTATCCATGATTTTAACAAAAAGATGCAGAGGATGAGCATATATGCCTGCTACACCTCTGGCAGACTTACCCAAGGCATCGTCCGGAGCAACACGTTTCCTCTCCAAAATCATCGTACATGAGCAGGTTATCACGGCTCCTGGCTCTGGGGCTGTCGCTGTAACCTGCAGTCCGGCTGGCATGATGAACTGCAAGCGGTCTGTGGTTCATCCTGGAGGTGATCGACAGCAGAGGCTGTGCTCTCGTTTCATGTGAAAGACTAATCAAGTGCCTGTGGCACGTCTCTCTCTCTCCGTCTCTCTGTCGCCCTCCCCCTCTGGTTTTTTCTGTGTTCTTGAGAAAGAATGCATCCTTCTGGGTCCCACAACACTTTTCCTTACGTGACCCATTGAACTTTACAGATGTGGGAGGAAGCTCAGAGTTGCGACTGAACAGGCTCAGAGTTACTACTGATGGAGGGTCATATTTGTCTCAGCGGTTTCACCAAGTCCTTCATCTCTTTCTTTGATATTACTCAGTATTAGTTGTGGCAATAAAGGCGGATTTGTTAAAAAAAAAAATAGGAGTAAAGAAATGAAATATTCTCATGATATAATGTCTTACCAATAGTTGTAATTTTTGACTTGTAAGATGCTATTTTAAACTGCATTGTTTAGAGTACGTGTTGAGATTTTTAGTGTGTGTGTACATGCGTGCAGAAGTGACTGATGGCTGATGAACAGCAGATGAGATTCCTCAGGGTTTAAATTCCCTGTAGACTTTGCTTCCTGTGTGCTCCCACTCTCAGCTGATCCTGGTCCAGTGTGGGAAAACTCTGTACCCAATCACATGTGTTCATGTGTTTACAACTGTCCAGCTTTTAGTAGCTCTTTGCAGCAATATTGTGATCATCTTCTGCTTTATTGTCCCATAATTCTTTTATTTGTTTTGTTGCTACCTATGTCAGCTGAGAGCACTTTTTGTCTGCTTTCAAGCTGAATTTCACACGAAAAACCCCCTTACAGTCTGTAAAAAGTCTCAGCGTGAAATCAGCCTGATAAAGCAGGATCTCCAATGCACAATTGTGGCAGAGAGAATTGCCTTTTAAGGATTGCTGAAGATTAGCCAGTTTGGATGTGTCGTGGCGTAGGGGCGTCACATTTCACTGGGAGAATAGTCGGGGCAATGGGGGTAAAGTCTGACAAATGTCACCATTGTGGGCTTTTGTTAAGATTTGCTCGTCTGAACAGAACAGACCTGAGATCTGGATGTAAACACTGTCAGCCTAAACATACACACTCTTACTGAGGGGCACTGAGTGGACAAGTACCTGGACAGTCCTTTGTGTGTCCTCCTCATGTGTGGGTGTGCGTATTGATTAACTGCAGTGATATGTAGGCATACCAGACCACACATAGAGCCAGCGCTCCTTCAGTGTTATCACCTGAATCACTGACGCTAAAACACACAAGCACAAACACACACATATCACACACACAGACAAACTTTGGCACCAACAGGACACCGTACATGTAAGCCCCACCATGCTGCAGCTAACTGGAGTAGAGTTACCGAAGCCGTATACTTTAAAGACGTCACTTGAAATGATGAAGCCACCTGAGTTCAAGATATTTCTCTCATAGTTCATGTTTTGTTGGGCTGAACTCTGAAGAAGGAGGGGACGAAGAACAAGAAAAACACACACGCACACAAAGGCCCGGACCAAATTGTTTCCTGTGTGGAAGCAGCTGTTCTGCAGCCTGTGCATCTGTTCTTTGTCCAATAAACCAACCTGAACCTGCAGCTCCTTCCTTCACCCAATCCCACCATTTTCTCCCTCTTCTTTAATTCTTCTTTCTTATTTTTTATGTAACAGATAAAACCTAGACACATTCCAGACTCTCCCGATTTTGTTTTTTATTCTGTGTTTTCTTTCTCTTATGTGTGAATAATAAGAAATCAGTATCACGGCTGGTTTGTTGGACACCTGCGAGATTAGAATACACCACTTTCTGTGATTCTGGCGAAACTAAACAGTCTGAGGTCCTGCCAGCGTGCTCAAGAGGCTGCGGTTTTCATTACAGCTGCAAAGTGTCTAGTGCTCATCTGGAGAGACAATAATAACGGCGTCTGATTCTTGGAGCGCTCAAAAGTTCTGATGCGCATGAAACTTTCCTGATTGAATCATCATTTGGTAAAAGATTTACTGTAACAGGAAGTCTTTAACACCACGACCTTGAGGCAGGTATGAGCTACTGTTGTTCATTACAGGATTACCAAACTTGATTGCTTTTAATCAATGACTATCATGTGATGCACCTGAAGGGGTGAAACCACGAGGTTTCTGCAGACTGATTCAACACGGTGGTTACACTGAGATGAATCAGGGGGCTGATTCAGTTTCACACTTCGGTGTGAATGTGACCTCGGGGAAGAAGAAGCCCCAGTTTTTAGCTGTAGCCTCGGTAACCTTTTCTCTCTAATCCAGTGATTTGATTGTGGAGCAGGGAGGGTACTCTGGGTGTCTGAAGCAACAGAGGCCCCCTGGCTTGCTAACGTATTTATTCAGGGAGGTCGCATTTAGTTTCTGTTTGATCAGACCTTTGCAGGGTTTTTCTTTTTTACTAATCAGGCTACTGACTTTTTAAGTCTCACTAATTGCACAGCAACTGGTTAGATTTATGTACAAGGATATTTCATTTTAATTACATCTTGGATTTCATGGTTGCGGATTATTTCTGCTGCAATAGTGACAGAAATAATCTGGTCAATACTAATAAACTGCATGTGATGTAGGTCTCAATCAGTACACTTTGCTGAGATTTACAGCACCACCTACTGGACTGGATCAGTTTAAGTTCTCCTCCCTTACCTTGGTGTGTATGTTAGCTGAACCAAGATCAGTTGAAACTGACAGGAATGCAGCAGAGTTTGCAATTAGTGTAAAAGAAGAAGAAGAACACAATAAGTAATTGGCTGATCTTATTTTATTTTATGTTGGTCACAGTGAAAATAGTAATCCAGAAGAACTATATTCTGTTTTAATGAAGCTTTCAGTCATGCATTGCAATGATCCATTTCTTCCCATCATCTCTCAATTATTGGTTGCAATCCTCCTGATCTTCATGGTGACAGATTTGATGGTGTAGGGGACTCCGTTGTGTCTCCAGGTGTCCCACACGATGTGCATCCTCTGCCCCTGGTTTCGCTCGGTGTCTTCGGGAGAGCCGTTGAGATTTGCCAGACCGCACTGATTGAACCACCACCCCGTGTGGTTGTGGTGAATGCTGCAGCTCTCCACCGTGCAATTGCCAATGAAGCAGAAAGGGTTGCAGCCATCATTGTCGACATCTGAGGCACTGAACGGTGCCGTGTCCTGGTTCTGTTCCTGGTTGTAGCCTCGAAACGCATCACCTGCACCAGAGCACGCAGAAATCCATGCAGACATGCAGGAGACACAAAATAACCAAGTGGACCGGTCGCCGGTGTTTTAATTTGCACTTTAGCAATTTTTAAAAAATAACATTTGTTTTGTGAAGTTTAACTTATTAAGCCATACCTGCGCTACCTGCATATCTGCCCAGGTGTATGCTGAAGAACTGCGTTTCACTGTCAAGGCGGAAGTCATCATACGATGCATAAGAGGTGACATCGTCATGGGAGACTAGAGCAATGTGAAGCTGGAATCGAGTATCCTTCTGGTTTACTATGTGAAACACCTTCCTCAGGCCCAACCAGTGTTCTCCTAAACACAAGACAAGAGATTCAGTGGTGAAGTGAAAGCTAGGAGATGGCTAGCTAACCTTAGTATAAATACTGGGAACAGAATCAAAATGCAGGCCTGCCATCCATACACCCATAGTCCTATATATACAGCAGCAGCCTATTAAAACCTATCCTCTTCATGCTTTGCTAACGTTTCCTCTATGCTAGTTGTTATGCTAGCACAACTTTATGTGCTGCTCAAGCAAAAACCATTGATAAAAAATGAAAGTTCCCCCTAGACTGCAGTTCCTCCAATGGCTCCTTTAGACTTGATCAACAAGAAAGTCGATTCCAAAAGTAAAATACTCTGTAACGCACACCTTTAGACTGTATTAAGCCTTAAAGTGATGGAGAATTATGGTTGTTGTGGCAAATGAATTCACTCACAATGGAAACCTACGAATCCCACAACCTCAGGTCCAGCAGATAGTGAACATTATGTTGGTCAGTGGTTCCCAAAACATTCTTTAACTGATACTATAAAGTACGTTTTGAGCATCTAGCTTACCACCATCTAATGTTATTTTTACAGTTCAACCTCAAAGAGGATCTCTTTGATAATGTACAACCTGCAAGGTGTCCAAAGCCATCGACATAGCCATCCCAGGATCTTTTGAAGTCAGTTAAACCGTCACTCCTCCTCTGCATCACCGTCCATCCGCCTCCCATATAGTCCATCTCACAGAAAACCTGCAGGACAAACTTTGCTTTGAGTGTCGGCCACAGAGTGAATAAATCACCGAAGGAGTGAATGAATGAATTATATACATGTACCTCAAATGAAGAGTCAGTGTTCTCTGGGTGGACTATGTAAATGCCACTCGGGATCTTGGGGACGACTGACACGAGGTTGTCCTTGATGTCGCTGCAGTCTCGTCCTAATCAATGCAACAAACACTCTGTTTGGTCACCAGAAGAGCAATTTAATCAAATTTATGGTGAAGCTTTTTTGATTTATAGCCACTAATGACTTGAAGGAATGTGCACTTCATGTATTAATTAGTCACTGAGGTTAATATAAATGGCATCAATTTATTCTCTGCCTTCGCCGCACAATCATTATATATTTGTCAGAGCTGTTTTTCGCTCTGTTTTTCTCTGTCAGAACTGTTTAGTCACTCAAATGAGGCACAAACTATTGAGTTATGATAGGCTGTACAAGCTAGTGGTGCATTTCAGCGTCTAGTGGAAAATATGTACCTCCAAATTAGCTGATTTTGAAGATTTCTGATGTACTAAAGGTTTAAATACCTTCTGGTGTGGCTTCGTGGGTCAGAAAAAAAAACTTTTACGAACCTCAGATTTTGAAAAAAAATGCTGTTCTGTTGATTCTATTTAAACCTTTTTCTAAAACTGATATACTGGTAATTTCATTTTTAAATAATGGACAAAATTATGCACCAGGTTTAAAGATATCCTCAAAGGGAGACCATAGTGTTTATATCCACATTATCTTTTATTTATATGCTGTTATAAACATAGATCACATTAAACTCAGCTCTTGGCTCTATAAGATGTTTAAACAGGGGATGTCATTAATATGGTGATCTCTGGTTTGAACCTACTGTTTAAACCTTATGTTTGTAAGGGGTAGCCTATTAGAAGAAAAACAGGAAGGGGAGGAGCTTCAGTAGCTTCTTAAAAAATGATTCACAACTTAAATCACCAAAGGTACACTACTTTTCATAATTCAACATGTCACTGGGTGTTACTAGTTAGCATTTATGTCTTTCAAGCTCTATAATCACAATCGTATGTGCTTGTGTGTGTGTTACCATGAGATTGTACAGGTTTCATGGAGTACATCTCAGTGTTGCTTCTCTGAACTTCCAAGCTGAGCGTTTGCACTTTGGTCATCAACTCTGTGACCTGGAAATATGACATCACTGTAAATACATTCAGCCAGTCTGACAATCACAAACACTTAACAGATGTTTTACAGACTCTTCGTCACCTGACTGCTTAGGATGTCCAGAGCTCTCTGTTGCGCCTCCATCACATCCCTCATCAGTTTTCTGTTGCTGCGTCCAAACGCAAGCAAAGACTGCTGCAGCTGACCTGAACACACACACACACACACACACAAAAACACACACACTGAACAACACATGAAGGTAATGGGGCTAACAATAGCACAATGAATCAGAAAAGGCTTTACCACAAATGGATTGTTTCTCATCTCGCAGGAGTTTGACAGTGATGTCACACGGGATGGTGCATGAGTCCTGACCTTTGACTTCACCAAGAGGTTTCTGATCTTTGACAGGAACATCAGCGAAATCTCGATTGTCTAATTCTGATTGGTTTATATTACCTCTGTTCTCTTTGTCCTGGAAATCAGGAGAAAAGGACAATGAGAGTCAATCTATAAGTCAGCACTTATGTGTAACTAGCCTGGAAAGTATGACTCCTGTGGCTCATTAGAGACTGAATAATGTCAGCGTTGTGTTTGTTTTCTGCGTTTTATATATCACATGGTTTCTTATTTCAACCGTACTACAGAAAATGTAGTTTGTAGTCTACTTCCTGACTCAAGGGATATTCTTCAGTCCCCTGAGTCAGGAAGTAGACACTCTGTTAGTGTTTTAACCTGATTAGCTGTTGTGTTTTAACTTCTCCACCACCAACTGAAGGAAAAAAAGACTTTCATCATGGGATCAGCAGGGCTGTAGGTCAAATATCGCGCTTGGCTGAGAGTAAATCCAATAAACCGAAAAAAGATTTGTAACCGACAGTAAATTGCTTTGGCTTTGAGGTATATCACTTTTTCGTTCCACTACAGCACATTTTGGATGGAAATTGTGCACAGTCCTTTGAAACCAAGTAGGTTTCACGTGACTGAACCTACTTGGAGGTGAACCAGCGGAAAGATTGCTCAGCTCTAATAAGGAGTTAAACTCCACCTAAGAAAACATTTTGGAAACGTGCTGCTTACACATTGCATCAGCAAAATCAATTAAAAAAATCTACTTACAATATGTGGATATATATGCATAACAGATACTTTTACCTGTATATTTTGTTAAAAAATACTTATTTTCTTTCATTTAAAACACAAACTCATAACATGATCATTTTAAAGACGATATAACTAATTAAAAAAAACAAGAATTCGTGGCTGACCTCTAAATTTCTGTGATTATATGGGCATTTCTTGAAGCACCTTTAAATCAGCTCCCTCACAAGTCATAATTTATAGCTTCCTGCTGTAACTTCTGATGGAGGAGTGATATTGATCAATAAGACAGATGACAAGTTAAAAACATTCATAGCATGCAGTGCGGTACATACTGCGTAGGAAAGAAGTGAAGGCAAAAGCAGCAGGAGGGCAGCTGCTGTCCACATCATCTCAGTCTTTTCTGACTGTGATTATTTCCACCAGGAGCTGAAGGAGCTGAATTAGGTCCGCCAGCAGACACGCCTTCATATGTGCTTATTTTTCCACAAATTCTTTCCTTTTCTAATCATCTTCTCTGCTCATCTACGAAGTATTTCTGCATCTTCCTTTCAGTTTTTAAACTACTTTTTTTTCTCCACTCTTCCTGTCCAACTGCTCTTTCTCCAGCTCCATCAGTCACTCCTACTTTCTCTTGTTAAATTCCCATGACAGCATACCCTTTAAAAGAGGAGGTCACATTTGTTGATAAAACTCTGGCAAGTAGCTGAATCTGCTGATTCAGAGCCATTACCTTCCCCCTCAGTGTGTCTATTACCGAGCATTGTTGTTTTACAGGTTATATCCTGCCATCAGCATGAGAAACAGATGTGGAAAAGGGAAATTGGCAGCTTGTTTTAATGTAGGAACCGTCTCCCTCTGCTTGTGTCTCTGCGTGGGAGCTACAGCTGAAGGTAGGGAGGAGTGAAGGCAGGGTGTCTTTGCTGCTCGTATTTCCCCCCAGTTACGCCCTTTGAAAACAGTCTCCCCCTCCTTGACAGTCAGACCAATTACTTCAGTTAACTGGGCACTGAAGCAGTAAAGAAAGCGTTCCACTCAGACTCCAGCCTGTCACTTCCCTGGAAAACTGTCCTGCAACTGCCAAACTGAAGATTTGCTGCTGTTCTTAACCTGTGTGAGTTTACAGCCATGGTCAGTGACAGGAATGTGAAAAAGCCACATGCTGCAGCCTCTGGGCCTCCACATCTGTCCCACGTTACATGCTCTTGTAAAACAGTCTGTACAAGTAAATGAGAGCTGAGATAATGAGTATATTTAGACATGACTGCGTGATTAATCAAGCAATTAATCAAACATACGGTACATTAAAATCTGCTTGTGTTACCAGGGAGGACTGATACTCTCCTATTTCAGCACAGTAAATGTGACAGAGCTGGGAGAGAGTTAGCCTAACATAAAAGAGTGAGTACGGATCTGGCCTGGGTAAAGCCTGAATATTAGCCATCCATCCATTCTCTTCTGCACATCCTTATCAGGGTTGCAATTGGGCTGGAGCCCATTCCAGCTCCTGAATATTATAAGTTGGCCAATTCTATCATTTAAAAATTCTCTGGTAAGCTGTGGTAAGCCTTGGTGTTCCCCCGGACAAGCTGGAGGAAGTGGCCGGGGAGAGGGAGGGGCTAGGCTTCACTGCGCAGGCTGCTCCCACGACCAGGACCCAGATAAGCAGAACAAGATGGATGGATGGATGGTAAGCTGGGGTGTTTAAGCATGCTCTGTTATACTAAGAGGCCCAAAGAAAATATCACCACCAGCACCAACCTGAATGGTTGATACAAGGTCAGCTGGAACTAAGCTTTCGGGCTATTTTTCGCCAATTGTTTTTACTGCAAACACCTGAGAGTGGTGAAGGCTGCCTACTGTCAGAGAGTCCACTGGATACCCGCATCCATCCTCTTGGAGGCTATCCACCCCCAACGCGTACTGTCCACACTTTCATCCTCAGGCCGGAGGTATAGAAGTGTGAAATGGAGGATCTCCAGACTGAAGAACTCTTTCTTCCCCGCTGCCATTAGACTCTAAAACACTTGACAGGAGTTCATAACCTACTGTATTTCATACATGCTGATTTATAGTTGTGAGTTTTTTTATTGTCTTTAAATTATTATCTATTCCATCCATCCATTCGCTTCCGCTTGTCCTTTTCAGGGTTGCGGGGGGCGCTGGAGCCTATCCCAGCTGTCATAGGGCGAGAGGCAGGGTACACCCTGGACAGGTCGCCAGTCTGTCACAGGGCTAACACACAGAGACAGACAACCATTCGCACTCACATTCACATCTATGGGCAATTTGGATTAATCAGTTAACCTATCCCCACAAACTGCATGTCTTTTGGATGGTGGGAGGAAGCAGAGTACCCGGAGGGAAACCACGCAAACACAGGGAGAACATGCAAACTCCACACAGAAAGACCCCGGCCTGAGTGCTAACCACCATGCCACCGTGCTGCCCATTATTATCTATTTTACATGTGAATTTATTTCTGTTTGGCATCTATTGTGGACAGCAAAGGAAGAATTTTATATTACAGGAAAATATGTTTCTTTACTGTGCTTATGACAATAAAACATACTTGGGATGTCACAGCAGAAATCAAGACTCATCAGAGCAGCCATTGTTTTCCATTCTTATACTGTCCAAATCTGGTGAGCAAATTGTAGCCTCAGTTTCTGTTTTTTGCTGACAGGAGTGGCTCTGGTGTGGTCTTCTCCTGCTGTCGCCCATCTGCTTGAAGATTCAAAGTGTTGTACATTCAGAGATGCTCTTCTGCATACATTGGTTGTTTCTGTTGCCTTCCCATCAGCTCGACACAGTCGGACCATCTTCCTTTGACTTCTGACGTCAACAAGACAATTTCACTCAGAGAACTGCCCGTACAGATGGCCGTGTGGAAAATTTTCAGCTGATCAGCAGTTTCTGAAGTACTCGGACCATCACCAACAACAACCATACCACATTTAAAGTCACTTAAGTCACAAACTCAGTTTGAACTTCTTCAAGTGGTCTTGACAGCGTCAAAATACCTAAATGCACTGAGTTGATCACGAGTACACCAACTTTCTTCGTTTGTGTTGAAAGATGAAGCATTAAAAGATACTACATTAATTTAGAAATTGTTTTATGACCCGAGACTGTTGTTTAAAAGGCTAATTACTGCCTGCATCACATGTAACAAAGCAAGGCTCTTCTAAAACTTATATGGCTCATAACAGCCAAAATGTAAACATGCACTCTGTGGCTTTACTGGTTTGTGTGGCCAGACTGACTGATTATCTGGCTTGTTGCCTTCGAAAGGCCAACCAGCTGTTAGCTGTAGCATAATGTTTATCCAACATGAGATGTACGAGAATAATAATTGTGTTTAACAAGCTCCAGAGGGAAATAGCTACCATGGCTGTGTCTGTAACAAAATCCACCTAAAACCAACTGTTTTACCTCCTTTGTTCCAGCGCATGACTTCCCATAAAACGCAGCTGTTTAACATTCTGGAGGTGAACCAGCGACAAAATGTGTTTCCCAGAATATTCCCTAAATAATCAAAAATAAACCAACAGCTGTCACCACATAAGTTTTATATTGCTTTCGTTTGACACATTTTGTTTTTATTCTGGTTTCAATCTTAACCATTTTTAACGTTTTTGAATACTCTCCAAAGCCAAGTCCTGTCTTTCCAAACGAGTTTGTGTCTCTGATAGCAATTCTTTATTTACCCGCTTTGTTTGTGGTGTGAATAGGCACCTGATAAGTCGCCTGTGCGTGACCGCTGTAGTCATGCCCACTGATTTGGCAGAGAAACGCTGCTGATTAAAAACCGCATGTGGAGATGATTTGATCTGAGACAGCAATCAAAAGACTGGAGAAACGATCCTCATCTCCTCGAATCTTCGCTCCTCCTTCTTTTGTACATTCCGTTTAGTAATGAGAGACGTGAAACCCAACGCGCTGCACGTTTCAGGTGTCAAGGTGAGACACTGCCATCTAATGCGTAGTGCTGTGTATTACATTGCATTTATGGTAAGGTCCACTGATCTGAGTGTTTTAAGCCTCCTGCTTTGAAACCTCAGACACATAAAATAATCGAAAACATCTGAATGTATGAATTTAAAAAAAAATCAGACACTGGACTGAAAACAATCCTGTAACTTTATTCTTGCTTAGAACAGTTCGTGAATTTGAATTTATGTGATGTGTGATGTCCTAAGCCTGACATTTAAAAACATTTAAAAACAGTCTGTGCAGTGCTGTGAAAAAGTAAGTACACCATCTTTAGCAGCAATACCTTGAGGCTTTCGGTGTGACAGTCTCTCACATTGCTTGGAGGGAATTTTCATCCATTCTTTGCAGCTGTTCATTGAGGTTTGCAGATATTTGTATATGCACAGCTGTCTTAAAGTCCTACCACAGCATTTTAATGAAAATGAGGTCTGGACTTTGCAGCAGCACTTTGATATTTTTGATTTGATTATTTTCTTTTTCAGCCATTTGCTGCTGTACTTGGGATTATTGTCCTGTTTTCTGACCTAATTTTAGCTGTCAAACAGATGGCTTCACGTGATTTATACAGCTCATGACTGACTCAATGAGGTGTCCAGGTGCTCTGGCATCACCCTTCCACCACCTTGCTTGACCTTTAATATGAAGTGTTTGTGCTAATGTGCAAATATCTCTATTTTAGGCTAATTTGTACAAAGGACGTCTTATTGTTTGTTCAGATCCAGCTTTGTAAAACGTAAGCTGTGCTACCATACTCTTTTAAACAGAAGGCGATTTTTCCTTGCAAACCCTCGAAAAAGTCATGCTTGTTCAGCCTTTTTCAGTCTTACCTTCATGAACTTTAACATTTAACCTATTAACTGAGGTCTGTAGAGTGTGAGATGTAGCTCTAGGGTTTTTTACCCTTTCTCTGAGCATTTCACTGTCTGACTTTGGTGTGAATTTGCTGGGGCGTCCACTCCTGGGAAGATAGCAGCGTAGTGTTAAAACATACCTGAAAGGTCCAGACCAGCAAACTGTCAAAAACATCTGCTTTTTTAGAGTTGCCCACACTTACTGGTTATCAGTTAATCAAGTGCATTTAATTAGCCTGGCTAATACTTACACTTTTATTTCACATGAAAGCAGTGCAGGTCACTCAGTTTAGCCAGCAAAGTGGGACTCGCAGATATTTGAGCCTGTGAGTGTCTGTGAGAGAGCAGAGTGTCTGAAAAGTGTCTGCTGACCTTTTCTTCACCTTCAGCTTATGCAACTTGCCCATGTATACAGACAGAAGGCCGTCACAGCACTTCAGTGCTCACAGTGGTAAACGTATGCGTTACACCGTGCTGCTATCTTTGTACTTCACTGGTAAAATAATGGGCTTCAAATTGTATACACTTCTCTAAAGTAATGACTAAACAGAGGGGAGAAACATACAATATATAAGCCAAACTATATATTTTGATAATATATAACTTTACGCAGCCTAATAACTCCATCAGTATTTTAATCAGACTGGATTGAAGGTAAACAAACTGGTTTCTAAAAGGTGATCGATGCAGAAAAAACCTAAAACATCTCCCGTGCTTGACTGTAAAACATTATGAAGTAAATAAAAATGTGC